GCCTACTTGATTGTAAGTACCTACTGCAGTCCATGCATGCAGCCAATTTCAAACTAAGAAGGCTACAGTTAGGTTATATCACTAAGTACCTACTCACAGCGATTCCTACTCAGAAAAGACGTTCTACTAGGAATAGATGGCAACTCACCATCAGGAAGATAATAAGTTCGTATGTTACAAAAATCTCTAGGTACGAATATTACACGTCCGTTACATATAATACAGGCTTATGTTGCAATAACCGGCCAAAAATTTCAAACATTCTGTCCTTTTTGTCTTTTAAATTCAAAATGCATAGTAATGCACTATTTTAACTGATTGTCATTCATAAATATCTAACGCCTGCTATTTTACTACGCACGCACACATTCGTAAGAGTCGTACGGTCGGCAAAAACGTTATGAATTGAGCGCGCGTACACGTAGTTGTTGCCCATAAATCATATTCAATTTGGGATAAATTCAAAAAAGGTAGAAGCCTTATTTACTCGCATTTTCCAAAACTGCAGTAACGGTATATTATTGTTTATATATTTGAACTTAAGTTTAAAATTTGGCTACTCTTTGAAAAATAATCCTGTATATATATTATATCCTTTAACGTGGTAGAGCCATGCTGCAGCTATATTAGTAGTATAGTTGTAGCACGAATGGATCGGCTCGACGGGGGAAGGACCACGCTTTCACAAAATACCAGCGTAAAATAGCAGTTTAACTTCTGTGTTTCGTATGATGAGTGTAGAGAACCGGAGACACTTTTTACTGGAAAAGAGGCATTCCAACTTAGTCCTCATGGGTGACTACGCATCTGCATTTTGATTCGCTAACGAGGATAAATGTAGATGTCTATGGGTCACAGCAACCACTTACCATCAGGTTGACTGTGTGCTCGTTTGTCACCTCATTCCTATAAAAAATATTGACTTCAAGCTCAGGAGAGTCCAACCAGGAAAGTGTTAACCAAGTAGTCACTACTTTATAAAGTGTACGTAATCAACGTTACTTGACTTAGGCCGTTCAACCTATGGATGACAAAACAGCAATCAATTACAATAGTGACATCCAATTACAAGACCTCCTCCTCCAATCATTTATTACTAATTATGTTTATTTTTATAGAATATCGGTAATCAACGAGCACACTGTTCATGTGAAGGTAAGTGGATACTGTGGCCCATAGACATCTATGTTCATCCTTGATTACCATTCAAAATACAGATATGTTGTCATCCTTGAGATCTAAGATGGAATGCGTCGTTTTCAGTAAAAACGGTCTCGGTTCTCGACACACACCATACGAAACACAGCAGCATAGAGCTGTTATTTTTCGCTGGTATTCTGTGAGAGCGTCATCCTACCCCGGTTGAGCCAACCCATTTGTGCTACATTTTTAATACAGCTGCAACATGGCTGTAACACGTATATTATATATAATAATATATAATATATAATCGGAAGATTCGTGGCAGAAATCCATTATATTAATGACTAACTTCAAGCCGCGATTTCATCGAATTTCACATTAATCCGTGTCTTTCACGCAGATTCTAGCTAATTAATTTTATTATCTTTATTATTATCATCATCATTACAGCCCTTCACAAGTCCACTGCTAAACATAGGCCTCCCCCAAGGAATGCCACAAAGCACGGTCCTGAGCCACCTGCATCCATCGACTCCCTGCATGTCTTACCATGTCGTCACTCCATCTAGGGGGACGCCCCACATTTCGTCCGCAAGTACGAGACCAAAGTGTGTTCTACTTTAATATTATTATGCTAATAGCATTAAAGTAGAAATACAGTAACTTAAAATATTAAAAAAAGCCAACCCCAATGTGTAAAAATCCTCCTTTTGAGAGGCCTATGTTCTGCAATGGAATTTAACTAGGTCTAGGAACTACATATTACCCACCACGTGTTTAGGGACTGAGACGCAGTCCGTAAACACGTGGTGAACCACCTTAAACATATGTGCCTAATCTCAAAATATATTAGAGATAAATTAATATACACTCAACTTAACTGTCTTAATATGTCAAACCACAAAAACACAGATCAATTACATAAAAAGGTGACTAAATGAATGTATGACAACACGCTTTTTACTAAAATGTTGCGTTAAAAAACCTACAATATTGAATATTTCTTTTATCATGCAAATATTTCACAATAAAGAGGTAATAGCAATAAAAAAATTGTTTTCGTCAAGTTGCAAATAACGTTTTTGGACGTAATCCTTGCATAATCTGTGACACGTAACAGATATTCCACAGTTGACGTTGCAGCCTTTTGTCCTAAAGTCTAAGTCCACTGCTGAACATATGTCTCCCCCATAGATTGCCACATAAGGGGGATATTTTTCATTATTACCACGCTTGGCAGGTTCTTATACGTGGTAGAGCAATGCTGCAGCTATATTAATAGTATAGTTGTAGCCCGAATGGGTCGGCTCGACCGGGGAAGGACCACGCTCTTACAGAATAGCAGCGTAAAATACGAAACACAGCTTAACACTGCTGTGTTTCGTATGATGAGTGTAGAGAACCGGCGACCCTTTTTTACTGGAAAAGAGGTATTCCACCTTATTCCTCACGGGTGACAACGTATCTGCATTTTGATACTTTATTGACGATAGATGTGGATGTCTATGGGTCACAGCAACCACTTACCATCAGGTGGACTGTGTGCTCGTTTGTCACCCTATACTATAAAAAGTGGGTTGACAACCGCAGTTTTTTTTATTCGTTATTAGGAAGATGCTGCAGCCCATCTCCTGATTTGTTTCCCTCTATCGCCTTTTACGACACCCACGGAATGATATGGGGTAGTGGATATTCTTACACCGCGACTACGCGATAGAAGATTTTCCACGACTGACAGCATTTGTAGGAATTGTATCAAGGAACAGTTATGAAACAAGTTTTCGAGTGTATGTTATAAAAAATTTGTAGTGCAGGAGAAATTAAAAAGCAATTCCAAAGATTAAAACGGTAATTAAAAAAAACACGACTGCATAACACTGTCCGCACCCTGTCATTATGTCGCTATACATACATACATACATACACTTGAAAAACATTGCCCTCCTTCTAGGGCAGTCGGGTAACAAGTACAAGCTGCAGCGTATAACGTCTTGCTGCTGGTCACAGGACTACCCTCGTTTCCAAAAATTAATCTAAAAAAGGAAAAAGGAATCTTACGCGCTGCTCCTGTGCATATTACCGAACTTTACATATTCAGGAGATATTTAAGGGGCAGTAGCCTAATGGTAGGGTGCGGACCGCGAACTCAAAAGGTCGTGGGTTCGAATCCGCCATTCGAATATTGCCGTGGACTACTTCTGACACAAGCACTTTAAGCATACCAGGAGTGGTTAAAAGGAATATTTGTAATGCTTACAGCATTGCAAATATTTAAAATAAGTACTTTATATTTTTTCTTATCATTTTTTTTAAACGTTACCCCTACACTAGGACTTTCTCCTGTATCGTGGAGGCAGTTTACAAACATAAATTGCACGAGGACAAACATCCAGACCCGGAACAATTATTTGTAGGCCATACAAATATCTTGTTCCGTGCGGGATTCGAACCCGCGGCCCCAGCGCAACAACTTATTGCTAAGCCACTGCGCCACGGTGCCGTCAATCCCTCGGACATGCAGATTTCCTTCACCCCCGATGTGGTAAATTAGCACATAAAGATGCAATGGTTTCACTGTCAAAACGTCGTTACATTCTAGATTCGCATCTTTTATACAAAATTCAAAAATAACATAGATTGCCTTTTATTACTACGTAAATTGAATTTTCGTATCGCAAGTAGATACTCTCGTAAATTCATTACTCCTCTTTCGCCTCCCCTTTGAAGAACTGTACAATACAATACAATACTCTTTATTGTACACCAAGAGAAGATAACAACATCAAAAATAAAAAAATAACAACTATTGAGGGAAATACAAAGGGCGGTCTTATTGCTACATAGCAATAAGTACTAGAATTTAATTCCCCAATACCAAATATTTTAGACTTTTACATACTCAGTACATAGTAGATATCTTCACCACGACTCTTTTAAAGTTTTTCGGCACAAAATTTATCAAATTATTAATATTTCTTTTTAGTAAATATTTTTAGTGTTCTTTTTTTAATTTTGTATTTTATATTTGAACTATCTTATAACGTTAGGCTTGTAAGAAATGCTGTGACAACTAAGAATGTGGTGTTTACCTATAGTTAAATGTGCATTTAGTTTATATTACTGTCTCAGAATCAGGGATTACTACACTTATTCAGCTCAATTCGGCATTTATCCATAGAAAACACCAGTTTTGTATGGTGATGCGTACGCATTCGTTCAGCTTTCCGCGTTTATTCAGCTTTCGCGGCAAATAGACATAAAATGAGGACAAGTGTGTTTCTATCATACGCACGCTAACGCCAGAGTTCAACGCTGTCCCACCGCATTCAGCGCTGTTCCGCCGCGTTCAGCGCTGTACTCGGACTGTCCTCGACGACAAGTTGCGTCTTGCATTTTTTATAGAATAAAGGTGACAAACGAGCACACAGTCCACCTGATGGTAAGTGGTTGTGGCCCATAGACATCTACATCAATCTTCGTTTGCGAATTAAAATGCAGATGCGTTGTCAGCCGTGAGGACTAAGATAGAATGCCTCTTTTCCAGTAAAAAAGGGTCTCCGGTTCTCTACACTCACCATACGAGGTATTCTGTGAGAGCGTGGTCCTTCCCCAGTCCATAGCTGCAGCATGGCTCTACCACGTATAAAATTGCACGCATTGGTTGATACATTTGATTTGCAATCATTTCGCATACAATCGTCGAGACAATGTGTACAGAAATAATTTTGTATTTTGCTTTTGTAACGCTGGTCGCAATAGCTCTGCGATTTCATTAAATCGAAAAATTTTATTAGGGTACCTATTGATGTCGCGTATTCTCTAAAAAAATTCTGTTTCACCAAAGGGGTTCGACCCACTGTCGTTTGCGTTTGCATTTATTATTACGTTCCGGTTTTGCTATTTCTTCTGAAAGAAGTGTGACGATAATAATATCGCACATGGATATGTGCATGTTGAGTGCAAAATAGTAAATGAAAGTAGTTTACCGTGAGCATGTAATCGCTTCTCAGTCAACCACGACATGTTATTCCAATCCTGAGCGTGGGTGCTCAGGCTGCCCCGCGTATTCTGGGGGGGGCAAAATTCCGCTCAAAAACAAAACTGCTTGGGGCAAACTGAGCAACAATACCAAGGCGACCCCTGCCACGCTATCCGTGAATTTCTGCAACATCAGGGGACTTCACTCTAACCTAAACGCCGTCCACTACCATCTCGAGACGGCGAAGCCGGCCTTGCTCTTTCTGACCGAGACGCAGGTTTCCTCTCCGGCTGATATTTCGTATCTCTCCTGCCCGGGGTACAAATTGGAGCACTCCTTTGTGCCTCGGGCTGGAGTTTGCGTGTATGTCAGAGAGGACATCTGTTCTCGACGCCTCGGCAGTCTTGAAGGTTCGGACCTGTCCATCCTTTGGCTACGCGTAGACAGCGACGACCATCCGCGCGTCTACGGGTGCCTCTATAGGTCCCATAGCGGTAATGCCGAAACAGACCGACTCATCGACCACGTCCAAATGGCTACAGATTCCTTGCTACAACAGGTCCCATCCGCAGAGATCGTGATCCTTGGCGATTTTAACGCCCACCATGGCGAATGGCTCGGTTCACGTTTAACCGATCATGCGGGGAGATCTGTTTATGACTTTGCTTTGGCATATGGTCTGACACAACTGGTTACTTCGCCTACGCGGATTCCAGATGTGGAGGATCATACACCTTCCCTGTTGGACCTTCTGCTGACCTCTCATCCGGACGGATATCAGGTTTCCGTCGATGCCCCTCTCGGCTCTTCGGACCATTGTCTGATCCGGAGTATGGTGCCACTCACGCTCCCTTCGCGGTTGCGTTCTGCAGGTTGCCGCCGTGTTTGGCATTACAGGTCGGCGGATTGGGACGGAATGCGGTCTTTCTTTGCATCCTACCCATGGGGGCGGGTTTGCTTCTCGCCGGATGATCCCAGCGCTGTTGCTGACTCTGTCACTGATGTGGTGCTACAGGGAATGGAACTATTTATTCCATCATCTGTGGTACCCATCGGAGGCAGGTCTCAGCCTTGGTTTGGTCGCTCCTGTAAGACTGCATTGCGCAGAAAGCAGGAGTGTTATCAAGCCTGGGCTGCGGCTTCGGTGACTCGGGATGTAAACACCAGCACACTTAAAAAGAAGTATAACTTCGCCTCCAGGTCCTTCAAAAGAGTTATTGCCAAGGCAAAGTCAGAGCACATAGGCAGAATTGGCGAGAAACTAGTTCGCCTTCCTTCGGGAACCCGTGCATTCTGGTCTCTCGCCAAGGCTGTCCAAGGGAATTTCTGTAAGCCATCACTACCATCTCTGCACAGGGAGGACGACTCACTGGCCCACGACGCAAAAGAGAAGGCCGACCTTTTAGGCTCCCTTTTTGCGTCCAACTCGACTGTTGATGACGGGGGGAACACACCGCCGACCATCCCGCGGTGTGAGTGCAATATGCCGGATGTGCTATTCTCACAGCGCTCGGTTCGCAGAGCACTCCTCTCCCTTGACATCCACAAGTCGAGTGGGCCTGACGGAATCCCCCCAATTGTGCTGAGGACGTGTGCTCCGGAGTTGGCACCGGTTCTAACGCGTCTTTTCCGGTACTCCTACTCCCATGGCGTTGTCCCGAACTCATGGAAGACAGCTTTTGTCCACCCGATCCCTAAAAAAGGCGACCGCTCAGACCCGTCCAACTATAGGCCTATCGCGATCACCTCCTTGTTCTCCAAAATAATGGAATCCATTATTAACTGCCAGCTCATCCGGTACCTTGAGGATCACCAGCTGATCAGTGACCGCCAATACGGTTTTCGTCGGGGTCGATCAGCTGGTGATCTTCTAGTCTACCTGACCCATAGATGGGCGGAGGCAGTAGAGTCCAAGGGGGAGGCGTTGGCCGTTAGTCTGGACATTGCGAAGGCCTTCGATCGGGTTTGGCACAAAGCGCTTCTTTCGAAGCTCCCTTCCTATGGGCTTCCCGAGAAATTGTGCAATTGGATCACCAGCTTCCTTGCAGATCGGAGCATCAAGGTCGTTGTAGACGGTGCATGTTCTGACTACAAGCCTATTAACGCTGGTGTTCCACAAGGCTGTGTGCTATCACCAACGCTGTTTCTTCTGCATATCAATGATATGTTGCTAACTGGTAACATTCATTGCTATGCGGATGACAGCACTGGTGATGCTCTATATACCGGCCGGGCCAATATTTCTCGGGAAAACGTCGCCGAGTACCGGAACAAACTTGTGTCTGAAGTCGAGTCTTTGCTGGACAAAGTCTCGGATTGGGGGCGACTAAATCTAGTCCAGTTTAATCCTCAGAAGACACAAGTTTGCGCGTTTACCGCTAAAAAGAACCCCTTTGTCGTATCTCCTCAGTTTCAAGGCACTCCCCTTCTTGCCTCAGCCAGTATCGGTATCCTCGGAGTCGACATATCGAGTGACGTGCAGTTTCGTGGTCACTTGGAAGAGAAGGCCAAATTGGCCTCTAAAAAGCTTGGCGTGCTCAGCAGAGCGGGACAGTATTTCATGCCGGCACACCGCCTGCAACTTTACAAGGCGCAGGTTCGGCCTCACATGGAATACTGTTCCCATCTCTGGGCAGGGGCTCCCCAGTGCCAGCTCCTTCCACTTGACCGCATCCAGCGCAGAGCGGCTCGAATCGTCGACGACCGAGCCCTTTCCGATCGGCTCGATTCATTGGCACTGCGAAGAGATGTTGCATCTCTTTGCATTTTCTTTCGCATCTACCATGGGGAGTGCTCTGAGGAATTGTTCGGATTAATCCCAGCCGCCAAATTTCATGAACGCACATCGCGGCAGAACTCCCGATACCATCCACACCATCTGGATGATTGGCGGTCCACCACTGTGCGATTTAGAAGATGTTTTCTTCCTCGCACGACTTCCTTGTGGAATCGATTACCATCAGCGATTTTTCCGGACCGATATGACTTAGGGACCTTCAAGAAAAGAGCCTACTCCTTTTTAAAAGGCCGGCAACGCATCTGCAATTCCCCTGGTGTTGCGGTTGTTCATGGGCGGCGGTAGTCACTTACCATCAGGTGAGCCGCATGCTCGTTTGCCCCCTCTCCTATAAAAAAAAAAAAAAAAAAAACCAGCGCTGTACGCGGCAGTTAAAAGCGTTTCAGTTAGGGTTGCCACCCGTACCGTAATACTATTATATCGTACTATATTTCAGCCAATTGTACTATATATATTATAAAAAAATAATAAAGTACAAAAAATACTATATTTTTAACCCTAATTCAACTGTGACTGGAAGTCTAGAACAAGTAAGTTTTACGGAAAGAATATTTTGCGTTATGAATGTAAAATAGAAAGAAGACAGAAATAGAGTATGTATTAAAAGTAAATATGGTTTGTAATTTATTTTAATATTAACCTAAATTGCTCAGATTCATATAATTATTTTAATGGTAATAAATAGATCATTGATGGCCTAAGCGAAAAGCAATGACGTATATAAATGAAAAAAAAATATAAAAAATAAATTTGTACTTTTTTCCTGAATTTTCCAAAAGTAGCTTCTTTTTGGGAAAAATACTATATTTGTTAAAAAAAGGTGGCAACCCTAGTTTAAGCGGAGATAGCACGCTATGACGGCGTTTTACAATCTTACGATGCTGTACGCGGCTGATGGAAGCGGAATTGTTTTTTTTTTTTTTTTTTTTTTATAGGAGAGGGGGTAAACGAGCATGCGGTTCACCTGATGGTAAGTGACTACCGCCGCCCATGAACAACCGCAACACCAGGGGAATTGCAGATGCGTTGCCAGCCTTTTAAAAAGGAGTAGGCTCTTTTCTTGAAGGTCCCTAAGTCGTATCGGTCCGGAAAAATCGCTGGTGGTAAACTATTCCACAAGGAAGTTGTGCGAGGAAGTAAACATCTTCTAAATCGCACAGTGGTGGACCGCCAATCATCCAGATGGTGTGGATGGTATCGGGAGTTCTGCCGCAATGTGCGTTCGTGAAATTTGGCGGCTGGGATTAATCCGAACAATTCCTCAGAGCACTCCCCATGGTAAATGCGAAAGAAAATGTTAAGAGATGCAACATCTCTTCGCAGTGCCAATGAGTCGAGCCGATCGGAAAGGACTCGGTCGTCGACGATTCGAGCCGCTCTGCGCTGGATGCGGTCAAGTGGAAGAAGCTGGCACTGGGGAGCCCCAGCCCAGAGATGGGAACAGTATTCCATGTGAGGCCGAACCTGCGCCTTGTAAAGTTGCAGGCGTTGAGCCGGCATGAAATACTGTCCCGCTCTGCTGAGCACGCCAAGCTTTTTCGAGGCCAATTTGGCCTTCTCTTCCAAGTGACCACGAAACTGCACGCTACTCGATATGTCGACGCCGAGGATTCCGATACTGGCTGAGGCAACAAGGGGAGTACCTTGAAACTGAGGAGATACGACAAAGGGGTTCTTTTTAGCGGTAAACGCGCAAACTTGTGTCTTCTGAGGATTAAACTGGACTAGATTTAGTCGCCCCCAATCCGAGACTTTGTCCAGCAAAGACTCGACTTCAGACACAAGTTTGTTCCGGTACTCGGTGACGTTTTCCCGAGAAATATTGGCACGGCCGGTGTATAGAGCATCACCAGTGCTGTCATCTGCATAGCAATGAATGTTACCAGCTTGCAACATATCATTGATATGCAGAAGAAACAGCGTTGGTGATAGCACGCAGCCTTGTGGAACACCAGCGTTAATAGGCTTGTAGTCGGAGCATGCACCGTCTACAACGACCTTGATGCTCCGATCTGCAAGAAAGCTGGTGATCCAATTGCATAATTTCTCGGGAAGCCCATAGGAAGGGAGCTTCGAAAGAAGCGCTTTGTGCCAAACCCGATCGAAGGCCTTCGCAATGTCCAAACTAACGGCCAATGCCTCCCCCTTGGACTCTACTGCCAACGCCCATCTATGA